ATTTCAATAAAATCATTGAAACGTGAAATAAAGCCTCGAAATTTTACCCGATCATTGAGAAATAACACTTCTTTCGCTCTGTGTGGTTATTATTTGAATTTAGCCCGTTTTAAGGATTTTTTCCCCCACCAGTAAGAAATAAGAGAAGGTTGGAGACTCGAGTCCMAAAAGCGAACCATCACGAGTCTTTGAAACCTCGTACGTCTTCGAATTTTCTTTCCAGCGCCAAATTTTAGTCTCTCACGTTCCTATAGAACCGAGAAAGTCGCATTAGAGATTAGTCTTCACGTCTTTAAAGCCATGAAATTTGCTTGTATTCACATACTACCTCTCTTGTTCTGACCCGTACTTGCAGCTCACTGTAACTAGTTCAACGGATTTCTTTCGGCAACCGACCCGAGGTCACGCCGGAAGTCTTCGTATCGTAAATGCGGATTGGATTTGGATATAGTCTTTCTTCGAAATTATAAGTTAAATACTTTTGTATCTTAGGCCGTTAAAAAATACACTCACCATAATTTCGAAGAAAGACTATATACGAATCCACATGAGTTTCTCGACCAATCAGCGCGCGAGATTTTCAATAATCGCCTGTGTATTTATACTAATAGTATATATTCCACGCTAATGAAGTTTATTATGGCGTTCTGAAAGTATGTCCACCTTATTGATGCAACAATCGACATAAATGAAAGTATATTTTCTGTTATTGAACATCAAAAAGTGTAATTGTTTTAAAAAATATACAAAATGCATACGTGTTTTCCGAATTGTACTAAAAGTACTTCTAATACGAACAACACATGCGCAAGTAGTCCTTGTCGTAATAATGGCACGTGTATTATTACAGTAAATGGTCACAGGTGCTATTGTCCATCTGGTTACACCGGGGCACAATGTGAAACAAGTGAGTTGTATTAAAACATTCCTAGATTTATGTTGTACTTACTGGGTCTTTGTGAGACACTCTTATGACGGGTCATAAGAAACAGGTGAACGAATGAAAAGTAGTATGGCCAGAAAATATAGTCATGTGATGAGCAATACACTTCTTCACCTTGGGCGTAATGTTTTCCCATTTCAGACCACGTGTCACTCTCTAGAGAATAAGATTCTTTGTTTGAGTTGTTTCCATATTTATGTGTCTTCTCATGCGCAACCGTCAAACGAAGAAATGATACTAGGGACCTTTTCAAAGCGGGACGACGACGACGACGGCAAACATACAATAGCACTAATTGCGCTATTCAATAGATACTCGTTGGAATGTGCGAAATACTATGCATCATTGCCGTCTTATGCTGAAAGTAAGACGTGAAATGTCCTATTTKTACGTACTAAAGAGAACGGCTCCCAAGCGCTCCCAAAAGACGACATTTCACTCTAAAACGGGGATGCTTGGTTGAGTAAAATACTAGGTAAACAGTAAATAATAATACAATAGAAGGTTGAAGCGCTTCAATTTCCACCTCGAAAATAATAGCTCACCACTTGCCCATCATTTTATGATAGAAGAGTTGCTAAGTTTAGAAACTGGATCGACATGCACACATTAGGAGGTAAGCACCGAAACCCTTTAGAAGAGTTTCTTTCCAATCAAGAAAGAAGAATTATCAATACAAGATTTTCTTTTAAAAGTACTGCACAAAGACTGTGTTACCCTGTGCCGGTTTAGCACCACTCTAACAGCGTTATCTTCATATTCTRTTCCTAGTTTAATAACTGTAATTAGAAAAACTTAACATGTAGCTTTTCGTTTCAAAGGCACTCAACCACCAACACAGMCGCCTACCCCACCATCAATCCAAGGTAAGCTAACATTTTACTTTGACAAAGAGACTTTTTTTCATATTTCTTTTCTTGAATATTTTTTTTCCAAATCGCTATGCACTTCTCGTATTCACAACAAAGAGTAAACCTTTTCATTTAGACATGAACACCGATTTCAACAATTGGGGGGCCTGGAGACAAGCAACAAATGACCAATTTAATTGGACACTTCATTCTGGATGTACGCCATCAACAGCAACAGGACCATGCGATGACCATACTGGATCAGGTGAGTACTGAGAATAAGCTGAGCCATAAATTTGTATTTTTATTTTTATTTATTAATAACATTAAAAAAATAGCATGTGCAATGATGATGAGGCTAAAGCCAGGAGGCTTATGGGGTATTACAGGACGTATAAAATTAATATATAGTCAGCAAGTATAAAATTAATAGATTAACAAGGAAAAATGAAAAAAATAAAAGTGAATGGTAATAATATATATACATACATTTATATTTAGATAGACACATAATGAGCAAGAAAAAACCCAAATGGACCCTAAGTGGCCTCTAGGTCTAAAGATAGGAAATGTTTATTTAGGGTTAAAAGATTTTAGGATTTAAAAACGACGAGATATAATTGACTTAATTGAGCTTAGTTTGTTAGTCTTCATTGACTTAATTGAGCTAAAGTCAACGGCGTTTGATTTTTCACCAAACGTTTATTAATCACCTGAATGTTTATTTTAGGAAGGTATGCATACATCGAGGCTTCCACTCCTCGTGTAACAGGAGACACGGCAAGACTTACTTTCAATGGAAATTATGATGGAGACTTGTGTATGACATTCTACTATCACATGTATGGTAGCTCGATTGGATCACTTAAGGTTCACGACAATGGTGTTGTGGTGCTGAGTAAAGAAGGTGAACATGGAAACCAATGGATGAAGGAATATGTAGACCTTGGCAACAACAGAAATGTAAGGAATTCCATATTTAGATGTTGTACATAACCAATGTTTTGAAATTGTAATGACAATGAATGTCGGCTGCCATAAAAGCTTCTCAGCAAGAATAAGTCAGAGTTTCGGTTGTTAATCAGCCTTTGCTTTACGACATAGCAAAAGTATGTATTATCAAAAACTAGCCATGACGAGACATTGATAATGGACAAACTTTCAAACTATAGTTGTTTTATTTTCAGGTGACAATAGATGGTGTAAGAGGATCAACTTTTGAGGGAGACATTGCTATTGACGATATATCTGTCTCCAAAGAACGATGTCCCAGCACAGGTTAGGAAACATCCGTACAAGTCTTTTTTCTGCTCACACTAAAAATAAGTTCACTTCTTTTGGTATATTTTCGTAGCTCCACCGACCGCTCCAGCGTGACGTATTAGAAAATAATTAAATCCACACCGCAAAATACTCGAAGCCACCTCAAAAATTAGCAAATCCACCTCGAAGGTCCAGCCCGTGCGGTCCCTACTACTTGTGTCAAAAGCAATAACTTTACTAATTTGAAAATATTTTAATAAAGAATGCAGAAACTACACCGTGCTGAACACAACAGACCGAGCAGCAAGCTATCGTGGATCACCGTACTATTGTGATAGGTACAACATCACCCCTGGATCYGGATGGTATCGCTTCATGGGAGATGCTGGGACTACCATAGCAACATCATGTGTTGATATGAACCACTGCGGAACTTATGTCCCAGGATGGATGCAAGGTTCTCATCCCACCAAAGCAGAGGGTATCGTGAATCGTACGGTGTGCTATCACTATAGTGGTAACTGCTGTTACCGGAACAACAATATTCGTGTCAGCAACTGTGGAGGATTCTACGTGTACGAGCTTGGCAGCCCACCATCTTGTAACTATCGTTACTGTGGCAGCGGAAATAGTAAGTTTAGCTTTTTGTTGCTTATCATTCATTAGGTATAGTTCAAGGCTAAACCTTTTGATAATGAAACGTATAGAGTGATCATAAATTACCCACGAAATTGTTTAGTAGACTACCAAAGGTAGCAATACTGTTAGGCATTACAGTCAAATTACCTCAAGCGTAGAGGACGTCATTAATGACATTATTTTTGGATTATTGATTTCATYATTATTCGATTCGAACATTCATAGATGAAACGAAGTTTTTGAAGCCTGGCATACACCTAATTTAAAAAACGTTGACATCGCGAAAGGCGATAGGTCATTCAGACATGTAAATGGTTTAAATAACATGTTATTTTCACGTGTGAAAATAACACCATTGCGATGGCTATTCAAAAATACACGGAAAGAATTGCCTGAAAAAGCCAAAACATACTTCATTGATAATTATATAATAAACAGAATATTACATGGGCGCTTGGAGATACGAAATTTATCTTCTCGTGTTGAAAATCTCTCACTCGTTCGCTGCGCTCACTTGTGAGAGATCTTTTCAACACTCGAAGATAAATTTCGTATCTCCGCRCGCCMATGYAATATCCTCTATATATCCTATCGCTTTTCACCTATCTCCTATTGCCTATCGCCTTTGGCGATGACAACGTTTTTTGAATTAGGTGTATACGAAAGCCAAGCATATATTCAGCTGAAATGCAAGATGAACTTTTTTTGCAGGAATATATAATATTAATGACTTACCTTCTGTTTCCGCTATGAACAAGAGCCTACGAGCCAAGTTAATCGAATTTTCAAACTATTCTTTATTTTTCGAATATCATTCGAATTCCAGGCTAATGAAGTTTATTATGGTGTTAATGAAAGTATGTCCAACAATCGACATAAATGAAAGTATATTTTCTGTTATTGAACRTCGAAAATTGTAATTGTTTTAAAAAATATACAAAGTACATACGTGTTTTCCGAATTGTTCTAAAAGTACTTCTAATACTGTTTGATATTTCTTCTTCAGGTACGAATAACACATGCGCAAGTAGTCCTTGTCGTAATAATGGCACGTGTGCTACTACCTACTATGGCTACAGGTGCTATTGTCCATTTGGTTACAGCGGGGCACAATGTGAAACAAGTGAGTCGCGCGTATTRAAACATTCCTAGATTTATGTAGTAGTTACTGGGTCTTTGTGAGACACTCTTATAACGGGTCACATAAAATATAGTCACGTGATGAGCAATCGACTTCTTTACCTTGGGCGTAATGTTTTCCCATTTCAGACCAGGTGTCCTTCTCTTGGGAATGAGATTCTTTGTTTGAGTTGCATCCATATTGAGGTGTCTTATCATGCGCAGCGTTTAAAAAMGGAAATGATACTCAAGGGAATGACACGTGTTCTGAAATCAGTATAAGTATCAGTTTCTTTCCATTATGTAATAAAATTCATTGATCAGCGTGGACTTTAGATATGTTAAAGTTAAGAACCAAAGGTCTGTCTTATTAGTCCTAAGAAGGAGATCCYGTTCTGTGTTGAGCGTTTGACTTGGTCTTGATCGACGTTCAAGAGATTGCTGATCTTTATCTTTGATTACATGTTCCTCGATGTCATCACTAGAAAAACATTATGATGCTGAAATACCATATTTTTCAAATCAATTTATTCAATTTGGCTTAATGTTTTCCAAKTCCAGCTGATTCCATGAAACTCAGAGAAAAGACTTTTATTTCCATGTGCTCTGAGATGRAAAACCGCTGACTTTTCGGCCGTACTTTATAWWTTTTTTTCTTCTATYATTAGAAATCACACATTCATTTTTAATCTAGACATGTACCCGTGTAACAGTAGTAAC